TACATTCGGCACGACAGCCATGTCATGAAAGAACGCTGGTGCCACGTGCCGACCAACAACGCTGAAAGTCAGCGTTTCAAGATTGAACGACAGTATGTCTTTGTTGACAGTTGTGCCGTCCGCCGTGATGCCTCCGGTTGTGTAGACAACTAAACATTGAAAGAAGATGAAATCAGCCCTTCCTGAGACACTTTCTAGTGAACAGGGTCAAGTAAATTAAGCGCAGGTTGAAGATGCGGATGCTTGTCTTGTAGTAATATGCGATGAACCAAAAATTTGGGGTTGCATGGGGCTAGGGTGTAGTGTAACCACCTCCTTCCCCCCCCCCCCCTCCTAAAAAAGCCAAAAGTGAAGACACAAGTTTGAAGCATTCTGTCCCCGGTACGAAGCTGAAGCAAGCATGCTTGGCGAGATTTACTGACACCGAAAAATTTCGCGACGGCTCGTCAGCTGCGTCCTGTCGCTTCACAACACAGGTAACGAGTGGGAAAAATACAACAGTTTGAAGTCGTGCAGAAAATAAATGCAGAAAAACAAGGTCATGGTTTTGGGTAATGCCGACTAATCAATGAAATTGGTAACTTAAAGACAGTATGGGAAGAATAGTGGAAAAAAGGCGTTCACGAGCAAAAAGAAAGGGTAATGTGAAAATCATGGAGCTAGAGGCCACCATGGCAAAGTTAGGTTAACCACATGGTCTGGATGTCTACAAAAATCTGGTTTAACCCGTCGCATATAGACCGCCTCCAGGCAACCCAATGTCCGAGTTGTTCGTGCCCGAAAAAGTACTCGGACGGATGTTTTAGAGTCGACGGAGTGACTAATAAACCCTGCCTTGCATGCTTGCTTCAGATGGCATAATTCTGGGGGGACCGGTTGAACATAGTGAGGTTTTGATGGGGCGAATGAAAATTCTAAAAACGTCCCTCTAAGTAAAAAAAAGATGAGGCCTGAAAAATCGTGCTTAGATGAACAAAAAATCATAACGCAAAGATCGCGCGATGCAAAAAAGCAGAAGACAAGGAAATAACTAGCGGTGCTCCCGCGACAAAACAAAGTTGTTACAGAATGGGAAAGTGGAAAATGTAATTGACCACATGACTTATGTTTCCCAAATTTGTCAAAATTTTATCTCAAATAATCCTTATATGGTTTTTTCGATAGACCGAAGTGGAAAATTTTCCAACACACGACCGTGAGCCCGAAGTGCATGCAATCCTAACACCGATTGAAAAAAAAGAAGCAAAGATGAGAAACAAAATGTAGTGGGTGTGGCCAAAGAAGTCGACCTTGGACAGAGGTCACTTCGTGCCCATCTCACACCTCAGTGACGATTGCCCAAAAATTTCCCATACACCCAAATCCAATCTCAGGCGACATGATTACCAGCTTAAAAAGGAACTGTGCCCCACAAATCAACGTTCCTCCTTTTTCTCACAGAGGGTCATTCGCCAGTGGGACTCTTTGCCGGAGTTTGTTGTTAATTCCCCTACCGTGAGCGTGTTCAAGAGACAACTGGATACTCACCTGCTGAAAGGCAACCCAAACTGCTGAAGCCTGATCTAACGGATTATTGAAATGACAATAAATATACTACTAACATGATTTCAACAGATCCTATTTTTGCGTCAAACATAGCCCATATTGAAATTTTCACAGTCCGAATGTGGTGAACAAAGTTTTTCGCAATTATTTTGCGAATATAATACCCCTTTCACCTTTATGTTACATTATTAGATTTATGAATTCTCCCTACTAAAACTGCAAGCAAAAGTTTTGCAATTTAACTATTTTACTTTATACCTGTACCCTCTAAATGGAGTTT